CACATCAACACTGAGAATACCCTAGACGAGAAAATAAATTTGATTATTAACCTTCCACAAAACAAAAAAGTAGTTCCCAATTAGTCAAAATCACTACTTTTTTCGGAACGGAAAAAACTTATGTAGTGAAAAACAATAGCTTTTCTATGTATTTTGTGTAACAAATTGTGAAGCCATAACTTTCGCGTCAAACAGTATACTTATTTATTTATTTTAAGTGACCTAGAAAAATACTTAAAGCAACAAACCATCTATACTAATATTATAAAGAGGTATTTGTAAGTTTGTATTTAGGGGGTAATCTTTAGAACCGCTGGTCGGATTGCCAAAATTATTTTTCTGATTGATAGCTACAATGTTCCTGAGTGCTATAGGCTATAAAACATCAAATGGCGCCGCGAGTAGCTAGTATAATATAAAATCAAATTTTGTGGTATATTATTATTTAGGAAAGTTAAAACTAATTTCTTTTTGACTGAAGAAACTCCTCAGTTACTTTGTCCTCCTTATAACTTGAAACATTTTATGCTACAGATAAATACACGAATCCGTATGACAATCCGTTCCTATACGCCTGGTTCGCGTGCCAGCTCGTGTCCTCGTTGTACACCTACACTTGGGACGTCAAGATGGACTGGGGGCTCTTCAGCTGCGGCCCCAATGCTGAAAATAAATTCCTAAGGGAGGAGATCGTGTATAGTCCTGGGGTAAGTCTTATAGACAATCATTATCATCTAAGGGAGAGTCCAACTGAAGTGCAAAAAGCCTTTTCAAATCATTCTGATCTCAATTCTTGACTGCGCGAAAGCGCCGCAGGTCGATTCCTGCACAGAAGTGATCTACAAATTGTTTTTTCTGGTCTGGGTGGTGCCCCCACGACTCAAGAAAATTTTAGGGTAATATAAAAATTTTAATTTAATCCTTTGGCTCGTATAGCCCTTACAATAGATGTGAAAAACCGCATCGCTTTTCTGTGAGGCCGTAGTACTCACTCCGGTCGAGCCGACCCATTCGTGCTGAAACAGGGCTCCTATACTGAAACTAATTTGGATGTTGTTTCAGTTCTACTACTTCGCGATTGTTGAAGATTTCGTGCTACGCTTCATATGGACGGTGTCGTTCGTGCTGACTGAGAACAATGTGGTCAGCGGGGAGACTATGACCTCTATACTGGCGCCGCTTGAAGTCTTCAGGTAAGAGTTGAGACAGGATACATAGGCAAATTTTTTGAGTTCAGTTACCGAGTTGTTGTTGAGCTGAGCAGTGTTATTTAACGTCAGGGATTATACATCATATATCTTGTCGACTAAAAATAATGTAATTATTGAAGTAGGTATTTATAAATTGTAAAGATTTCGTAAATAATATAATTTTGTAGATTTTTCTCTCGTCCTTGATGAAGCAAGAGGGAGTGTTCTAGTTAGTAAGACTGACTCAACCACCCCCCCCCCCCCCTTTCCTTCTCCTGATCCAGACCTAAGGCCACGGTATCATATTGCGCTTGCCCCGCAATCTTAGCTAGATTTTCTCTAATGAGTTATGAAGATTAATCGAAAATTAATATTCCAGACGGTTCATATGGAACTTCTTCCGTTTGGAGAACGAGCACCTGAACAACTGCGGTAAATTCAGAGCGGTGCGAGACATCTCAGTCGCCCCACTCGACTCGTCCGACCAGGCTGATATTATTCGCATGATGGACCATCCCGATGGAGTTATTAATAGGTTAGTTAGCTCTTAATTAACAATCTTGTCTGATATCAAAAACCGCAAACCGGACTCCGTTTCCCTACCAGATGTATTTCAAAAAGTTGACGCTAAGTCGAGCCTCAAAGTTTTCACCAGCGCGGCTGGCTAAGGACTAAAAATCGAAACGTTATGTTTTTCTGATAAAATACTAGCATGTATTTGTTCTGGGAAATTTGGAACAAAACTAGTTTAGCTTCCATTCGCACGGTAAAATGCAGAAACATGATAGATTACAACAAACAAAGATTAACCTAATTTGATGTAGCCGTTTAGGAGTTTAGCGCAAACATAGATTTTAATTTATGGAACTTAAGTAATTTTTTTTTTTCATTTCAGATTTGCTAAAAACAAGAAAAATGCAAAAAAGACAAAGGAGGGTGATCGTAAACCTCTTCTGAAGAAGGAATCGATACAAGACATGCAACTGGAACTAGATTTGTCCTCCAAAATGCTGTAACTGACTGTGATACCTGTACTTATACTTTAGATATTGTTATTATAGTATTATACGAAATATATTTATAGCCAATTCTTATAATAAACGGTGTTTTTTTCATGGTCTCGGCAATATCAAAGTATGCATTTGACGTCATAACTATTTCTATTCAATCAGCTAGAAAAATACGAATACTGACTAACCCCATAACATTAAAACCAATTTTTTTTTATGTGATAGGTCGGCAAACGACCAGACGGATTGCCTGATGGTAAGCAATCAGCGCTGCCCATGGACACCCGCAACGGAGGAGTTACGAGTGCGTTGCCGACCTTTTAGGGATTAGGGATTGAGGAGGGATTGGGGGAGGGGAAGGATTGGGCCTCCGGTAACCTCACTCACACGGCGAAACAACGGTGTGGTTGTTTCACGCCGGTTTTCTGTGAGGCCGTGGTATCACTCCGGTCGAGCCGACCCACATTCGTGCCGAAGCATGGCTCCCACACTCCCACACACAGTAGTTAAAGTATTTTAATATTCAGAAAAATAGTAATTTCTTTTTGACTGAAGATACTACAATTACTTTGATTTATTTTTGAAATGAAACGTTTTATGGTGCGGATATACGTATTTCTCTCACATTATGTTATTTTACATTGTCTGGACTTGAAAAGAGACTGACCTCTGAGTTTGTTTCGGAATTTCTTCTCAGAGTAGTCAGATAGGAAATGCCGGCTTCATCAAGTTTTTCACATATAATTTGACGTGTAAATGTGCCGTTTAATGGCCTATTTGCAAAAATATTATTAATAATATTGTTTCATTTCTATTCAAACTTTTTTTAGGGGTTGGTCGACAAACTGCTTCGCCGATTACATGATATTAATTAAGCAATTGGCATTGAACGTTCGTGGTGACCGCGTTAAAGCGCCCGCATCTCATGCATGGTGGTGCGTTCGAAACCTGGCAAGTGCCATTGTGAATTCCGAGTTACATGTACTATCTATGATTATTTAGACACCACTGACATACGGTGAAGGAAAATATCGTGAGGAAACTTGGACTTATAAATTCTAATTTTAAGGTTTAAATCGCCAATCCGCCTTGAATAACTAACCTCCGTGTGAGATAATGTCTTTGTTTAGTAGTGGGCACTTATAGGCTGATATGTGGCCTTGGGCCTTTGGTAATCACACTCTCCCGGTAAAACAACGTAGTTTTGTTTCACGGCGGTCGTAAAACACAAAAAACACGTTATTCTGAAATGTTAATTACCGAAGTTATTGTTGACCTTATGTAGCAACTAATAGGGTTGAAATTAAACCGCGTATTACGTGTTTGACCTGCTGGTTCGTGCCTATATTTGAACTGAACTATAAAATAAAAAAAAAACAAATAATTTATGTAATATTTAGTGCATTTATTTAATAACTGAAGTAGACATATAAACATTTCGCCGTTAGATCCGCATTTTAACATTAGCGTTTAGAAAAGCTATTTAAATTAATATATCACAAGTTAACTTAAATACGTTAATAATGGGTTTACAATACTAGTTCATATTCGCAGATTCACTTACAAAATGCGGTGAGAAAATATCTATAGCTATAAATACCGTAAAGTGGTGGAAGAGTGGTGAAAAAATGTTTTCCTGTATGTAAAAAGTAGCTTAAAGCTCCATCTATTATTATTCGGGAGAATAATATATATATTATGGCAATTTGTAAAAAAATCCTTATTTCTTATTATTTATTTTTATCAACTTTGCAATCTTATGCAATTCGGTTATCCCGTTAAAAATCGAGATAGGTATTTGTTAGCCTTTCAATCTCCAGAAAATGCTTCACAACGGTTTCATCTAGTTTTTACACCATTTTGACGTGTAACATTTTATGGCCTACTTGCAAAAATAAATTCATTATTCCATTAGTTTCTTAACAACGACAACTGACAACCTGTTTTAATATTGAACACGCACATAAAACATCGTATTGCATTATAAACAAATTATTAATTCAGAAGTTGTTTTTCAAACCACATCCACCTTATTCTTGTAAAGAGATTATGCCAATAATTACAAAATATGTTTTAAATAAAAACAAACCAAAATTTTAAAATTCGCTATTAGTTTCAATTCAGAAATTGCACATATTTATGTAGTTATAATTTTAACAAAGTTTAAAATATTGTTGACAACGCAGCTCACGGTAAAAATGTGTAAACAAGCCATTTTCACACCTATTTATAGACATTAGTAATGTAACAAGCAATTTCTACCATTTATTCGAAATTTATAAGACTCTTGCAACATAATTATTACATGTCAATGCCTAACATTACTTCTTTTTGTAAAAGTTTGAAACTTCAATAAGTATATCCCATGGTAAATAAACTGAACCAGACCCGAGCATACCGCGCGCACCTCAAAGATCCAATAAACCACCATAGATGGGTGCAATGGCAAATGCTCAGCCGGGGTTGCGCGCCAAACGTAATAAGGTACAGCGGCTTCAGCCTGGAGCAAAACAAGGGGGGGAAGGGGGGGGGGGGTTAGTCAGTAAGAATCTAACACTCCCTCTCGCTTCACCCTGGGCGAGAGAAGACACTTGATGATTTTCTGTATATTGCTATTGATTCATTCAGATGACACTTCAATATTAGTTGGGATATTGAACAAAAATAATCATATTTACTTTTCGTGTTTTTACATAACTTCTTCACATACGCAAAAACAATAGAAAACAGCGAAAACCCGCGGGAGTTAATATTTTCATATAGATATATCAACCTAAATAGTTAAGGCTAAAACATCTCCCAAACAGATCATTATTTGAAAACTCTCAGCGAATAATGAACTCTATAAACATTACAATAAAATTATTATTACTTGTAAATCTCTCGTACTGGCGTACAAACATAATTACATACATACAATCAACAATTATTTACATTGTTCTAAGGCAATTGTCAATCCGTGACGGCTTGGAGTAGGCAGCCTTCTATAATCTTGTCTCCGACACTTAGTGCTTTTCTGAAAGAGAAATAGTATATTCAAAATTTAAAATACCTATGTGAATTTAGAAAATTGTAGGGAACAGAATTCATTAAAGATAGACCTACAAGATTGCCAAAAGATCCTTCAGCTGTAAGAGAAAACCCACTGTTGGATATTTTGACATTTTTAGTAAAATAAAAAAATAATAAAGCGTGGAAGAATCATGCTTCGTCACGAATGCGTCGGCATGACCAGAGTAATACCACGGCCTCACAGAAAACTGGCGTGAAACAATCACAGCATTGTTGTCACATTTCGCGTGCGAGTTAAATTAGCGCAGCCTCTCTCCTTCCCCTCTCATCGCTACGTAAACTCTAAAATCTCTAAAATCCTAATCCCCAACGCACTCGATAACTCTTCTAGTGTCGCTAGTGTACATGGGCGGCGACAATTGCTTACCATCAGGGAATTCGTCTGCTACCTATTACATGAACAAAATTGCCTTGGAAGATGTCTGGTGGATAGCTAAGGCAATGGATGCGTTGTCAGCCCCTAGGGTAGGAGAGGATTGGGCCGGCGGTTATCTTGATCACACAACGGAACACTATGCAAGCCTTGATTCTTTAAAACCGTTTATTTCCTTTTTTTATTTAACAGTTCGGCAAACGAGCAGACGGATTACCTGATGGTAAGCAATCAGCGCCGCCCATGGACACCCGCAACGGAGGAGTTACGAGTACGTTGCCGACCTTTTAGGGATTAGGGATTTGGAGACTCAGGGATTGAGGAGGGATTGGGGGAGGGAAAGGATTGGGCCTCCGGTAACCTCACACACACGGCGAAACATAACGCTCTGGTTGTTTCACGTCGGTTTTCTGTGAGGCCGTGGTATCAGTCCGGTCGAGCCGAACCATTCGTGCCGAAGTATGGCTCTCCCACACTTAATTTCCTGCCTTTTTAGTACTTAATCTATTTAAAAACAAATATATAAATAAGTACAGAGTGACAATCACGACATGGCACATACCTATGAACACAACCGCCGTAGTATTAAGACCTGAGTGCCTCTAATCTTGAGGCCATCTCGTCGAGTTCACTCTCAGTGGTCTCCGGCACGACGTCCTCTTCCTTGCTGGTGGAGGGTGCACCCACGGCTGTAGGAGGCGCCGGCGCCTCGCCCAACTTGCCTTGTGTTAACTCCCATAGCACCTGAAAATATTTATGTAGCGTGTATTTTATCATGCCATTAGTAATCATTTATTCATCTGAAATCAAAAATACTACCAAATTAATATTTTTTTTACTTACCTTTTTCTGCCTAAGCTACTGAATCCATTTTGATTATATTTCGCATAGACACAGAATAGGAGTCTTATTACCATGTCAACAAAGTATTTAATAATTCTGAGCAAAACATGCGCTACCTGAATGGACAGACTTTCGACCATCATGTATTCGAAAAAATCTAAACCCCTGGTCATTTCATTTTCATTTTAAATATCTCCATAGTGCTTGCAATAAAAATTATGGTCATCAATTACCTTATCAACTTCACTCTGTGCCGCCTCCTCCATTTCCTCTTCATCCTCCATGCCTGACATGGTCTCATCCAGCATCTCCTCGATGATACCAGCTTTCATCATCTCCTTGCTCATCTCTTGCATTGTTGCCGCTACTTCTGGGAGGCGGATCAGTGCTTGCATCGCTTGCATTACCTGGTAAAATTATTATGTGTTAATAACATAACAAACTTTTTATATAGTATATTCATCATCATCAATATCATCATATGCCTATAAGTGCTGAGCAAAGGTCAACAAAGAAGGTTTGAGCATTAATCACCAATCATACTCAAGAGGGATTGGGCATTTTAAACTCATCAAAGTTCAGGTTTCCCTTCATCATATTATATCAGTGGTGTCTAAATAAACTTAGGAAGTACACATAATTGGTAAAAAGTCACATTGGTATTGAACCTCAAGCATGAGAAGCAAGAAGGATATTACGTATATGCGACAAAGCATCTATTCATGAATATGTATGTATATGTCTTAGTTCGTAGAAATTAATGTCCATTAAAACCACAGTATAACAACATTATGGCAAAGTTAAGTAGCAAAACTAGAACAACTAGTACTGACTAAAAACTGAACTACCAACTACTCAGTCAATCCTATTCATATGATAAGATACACATGCAAACATCTATTCACAACTGAATAGATGTTTGCATGTAGAACCTACTGAACAGATCTTTTTGTTATTCCAAAATGAATTTGGTACAACAACAGATAGTCTGGAGTAATCCTAGTTTTGTCACCATAAGTACCACTAGCAGAAACCACTTGGTAAAGAAGTACACTACTTAGCACAAATTATTATGATGTCACAATACGGTACTTTCCAACTAGTCAAATTCAATACTTTTAAGCGAATGTCAAAAACGATACTTTTCTATGAAAAGTTGAATTATGACGTCATAGTATTTTTGCTTACTCATTGCTTTAAATAGCTTATTAATTTCAAATAGCTTACTTATTTCTTAATAATTAGCTAAAAAAATATCTAAAACTTAGTGTATCAATAGATTGATGAATAAAAGTATAGTTATTTTTCTATATTTTATTGTATTGAAACATCAAATTAATTTATTTCTGACCTAGGAAACTACCCAATTGAGTAGGCCCGTACAAAATTAGACACCATACTCATGTCTCATAGTTGGTTTATTGGTTGCTTATAGAACAAATAGTTATTAGGGAATAGTTTTACTAATCTTTAAAGTTTTTTAAGTATGTCACTGTGAGGAATTATGAAAAGAGTATTTATCTTTTCATCACTGCATCAAGGAATCAGCCATTTCATTTAATGTTTGATGTTTGGAGTTAATTAACAGCTTAATTAGTTATGTTAAATGTAATGAGGAGTTATATAATTGTAGCATACCTCAGTTGACCTCTGCAATGACCCTGCCACTCTTAATGTAGCTGGAATTAAAATATAAGAAGAATTAATCACAAGTGCCATCTAAATACGTATTTCTTTAAAATTTAATAACCTTTTTAATACTAATATTTATAGTATGTAAAATATAACTTACTGATAGGCTTTGAACATCAAAGAAAAAACTGTCTATGGCTATTTAATTTATAAGAAATTAACAAAGATCTTATCTTTCTTAAGGAACAAAATGTTTAAAAATTCTCATATAAACAGATAATTTATGGTTACAAATGAGTGAATAATTTTCATTACAATAGTTAGGATTTAGAAGTCTAAAGAGTCATCAACATATTCCTACTACTTTTGATACTGCAGTGGAACCCTATGTCAGCTAATCACTTTCAGATGGCCTATAAATAAACTTTGTAAATACTGTGTGTAATAAAATGACTGAGCCAGAATGCCAATAATACTAGTAATATAGTATTTAACTTACATTATAGCATTACAAAGGATATAATAAGCATTACAAATGACACCTGGATGACTGAGCTTTGCTCAGTATTATTTTAAAGAAAATGCAAATGAGGAAAAAAATTTTCCTCTCTATAACTACATACATAATATTATTGAAATCATTCATTCTGTTTCCAGGGGCATATGAATAATATAAAGGTCTTTAACTAATATTTACCTAATTGATTCTTCATTTGCATCTGTACAGAATTGAGATGTGCTTTTGTTGTATATATTTTACTAATGGCTTTCCGCGATCGAATAATCTCTTTGGCCAGTATTGTGCACACTTGTTTGTCATTCTTAGCTGCAGCTTCTTTTAGAGATCTCTTTATTTTATCCTCTTCTCTCTGTATACCTGAAATTCAATACAAGTATGTTACATCTATTCTTTAATAGAACATTACTCCAAATTAGTATTTTCTCCTGTCTAGAATCAGCCTGTAAATTTCTCACATACATAACATCCCATGAAAAGAATTTCTACAAGAGGGTCGCACCCGCACCCAGTTCAAGAGTGCAGTAAGAAGCAAAGTGTTATGAGTAACCTTCAGTGATTTGGTATTAATTATTGAAAAAAAAAACACATTCTTAATCAACAGCTGTTTAAATTTTATTAATATTTGTTCCTTTTTTCCTGGGCTATAGTAGGCCATGACTAAAGTATGACCTTGACTCCACTACGTTTCAATAAACAAGTATTTGGCATTCCATTCGCGAAGTTCAGGTTATCTTTTAAGAGGACACACTTAACTCGTTGACGTGGGGTTCTTTTGTGTTAATTGTTATACTTACTTCTAATTTGTCTATCCAAATTATATCCTTCTTTACGTATTTTATGTGACCACTCGTTTACCTGAAATAAAAGCGATATTTTTAGAAAAAGAGATTCGTGTTGTTTTTATGATTCAAACTTTATATAGTTATTACACGTACCATTTCTTTAGGATTTCTTTCAGGAGATTTCCCAAAAAGACCCATTTTGGACAGTAAATTAACTAATATTTATTTTTTAATTTGGATATTAACAATAAATGAATTTGTTTTGACAGAAAATAGGCAAAAGTTTGACAGACGATGACTTCATCTACTACGTTACGTTACTACGTTTCTGCAAATGAAATCAAATGAAAGTGATGCATTGTTAGGATAGTACAACTGTACTAAATCTCTATGCATTTATCTTTAGATCAAGAATTCATAGTTGCGTATAAATAAAAGTAAAGGCTTAACATTTGTATACGATATTTTGATATTAATCGAAGTCTACTCTTACTATTCCGTATTCGCTGCTTGAAACGGAAAATAAATGCTTTTGGATTTACGCAGAAATGCAGATTTGGCATCTCGTAGTTATTTGTGGTTTCTATTAACACAGTAACTCACTATGATTTTTACACCTACTAAAATATTCAAAAAACACTTGAAATAAGTTTGTTTGTATTCTACGCCTCGTTGTGATTTTCTTTAAGAGCAAAAGATACATTTTTATATGTAGGTAACCCGTCGTGAAATGGAACTGAGTATCTAAATTGTCATTTGTTTTGACATAATGATATTGTTGCCAAAACAAAAATATGTATAAATTTCGAGGAAATAAAAAAACAATTTATTAATAATAAAAACTTTTAATTCGACGTGGCTTTTATTTTGGAGAAAGTTTTGGCTAATCAAGGAATTTTTAATTACCAAGCGACAGTGGAATTTGTTATTTAGTGGTTTTCTTGCCAAATGGAATGTTTTTTTATTGTAAAGTGGACTTTTTTTTAGAAACTTGCAATACCTACTATATTGTTTTTCAGTTTATCAAAATATTTGTTGTCGGTGCGAAATTTGAAACGTTTTTTATATTTTCACACTGAAATAACTAATTGTGAGTTCGTGTTTAATCTTTTTGTGTAAAACTAGTGGCGAGGAGAATTTGTTGAGAGCCAAATCGACTAGGTAAGTTAATTTTGTGAGTCAAACAACCCGGCAGTTTGCATGTCTTTTTTTAGACGTTCTATATTTGTGATAATCTTTCGGATGCAACTGATGCTGGGTTTAGCCAAAACATTTCAGTTATTGTTACATTGTTGCGTTAGAAATTTCTAATAAATTAAACAGTATTCGGTTTTTGAGGTTATTTGCGAAATAAAATATTTTGTGACCGTGACAAAAATGCGTGGTAAGCTTACACATGGTGTCGGCAACCATTGTTTACAGTCAATCACCTACCACACGACAAATAAATTGTTAAATTAATGCTGTAACTATTACAATCATCTTTTATCACACAAAATATTATTTTCCTATGATGAATGAAATTCAAATAAAAGTAACATTTTTATTCTTGACTTGTTTTATTCGTCGTGCCATTAAATATCAAAAGTTAATTTATTGATCTACCTTCTTATAATATAAAATTAATTATGATGGTTATTTTTCATTGTAATCAAATAAATAAATTTAAATATGATATATAATAATTCTGAATGATGGCTGGTTCCACATGAAATGTTGTTTTTTAATGTTTTTATAAAAACTCTATTCTCTTTGGTGTATCAAATAAGACATAATTTTTCAGTATGCAGATTCTGCTTATTAAACCAATATTGGTAAACAATTACTACTTAAATGATAAATATTCATCCTTTATTTTCAAACATTTATGTTTTTATATTTTTTATTTTTATTTTTTTATAACACAGTTGAACATTTAAAGCAGTTCACAATTTACACTTTTACAAGAGGTCTCATCTTGGTGTGTCTTATGGCAAAAGTATAGGGCATTCAGAATGCCCTATACTTTTACCCGTGACTCCATTCACATGGAATAGTGACTTCCTGTAGATTTGTGGTATCAAAACTATCCTATGTCCTTTCTCGAGTTCCAAACTATGTCTGTACCAAATTTCACATAAATTGGTTCAATAGTTAGGGCATGATGAAAAGACAGACAGACATAAATGCGAAAGTAACTCTGTCGAGTTACTTTCGCATTTATAATATTAGTTTAGATGTGGAAGTAAGGCAACTGTAAGGCTGAAATCATTGCTAATTACTAATGTTTCTAATACAAATTAGGTTTGTCTGCATTTCCATCTCTTAAGTTATAAGTTGTCCAGTTTTGGAATGTTTAACACTAGACATGGTAAAGAGAAGTGGATTAGATTTTACCTTTGCTTTGACTGTCAGAGAAAGACGTGGACAGAAAAGATTTTAAACTAAACTTGAAGTCAACCTCTCAATTGGATTCCCCTGATAAAAATGTTTCAAATATATCTTATTTTGTGTTAATGTGTTTAGATTGAGTCATGGTTTAATTTATCATTGTTCAAATAATAATACTTTTAATTTTTGCCATATGATTACATTTGTGTTTAATACAATAAAATCTACAACTTGCTACAACATTTAAGTAATACAGAATTTGAAACATCTAAAATGTCAAAGATACATAAATACATAAAACATGATATACTTACCTAGTTCAGTATAGTCTGGTTTCCAGTTTTTTGTCTACTCACAAAAAACTGGTTTTCTTTGTATATTTTTTTTTGCATTATTCAATATGAATCAACAGGCATAAAAAAGTTAGGTAAACAAAAGGAATAGTAGAAGTTTCATAGAAATTTTAGATAATATTGTTTTGTTCCTTATCCAGTTTGGTTTGTTATCCATTTAACAATTTAATTTAATAAAATAAATACAAATTTTACAACTTACACTAACACTTAGCACATCTGCTGAGTGTTTTCTAAAACATAGGCTTTTTTTTTTTTTTGGTCTCGGGTTGGAAAATCCTCATGGAGACCCACCACCCTCGGGGAAGGGCGAAGGGTACTGTCAGACTCATACTGACTAAAAACCAACCCGGTGTTCCTCCACTTACCCATGTGTCGGAGGGGTGGGTATCGCCGAAGCATTCGTCGCAACCCCCCGACGGGTATTGGCCCGCCAGATGGTTAGGCGGGCCCCGTCACCCACTGCGGCCGTCACCCCGACCGCAGGACTCCATTACGAGGCGCGCGCGGAACACGGCGCCGCCGCCTCGAGGCCTGCTGCTGGTCGGACGACAAGACGCCCCGAGTCTGTCGTCCGCAGGCCGCACCCTACGGTGGCCGCAGGTCGGCCACCCTACGACGTCTAGTGCGTCTGCTGCGGGAGGGGAGAGAGGAGGCAGCCTCTCTCTCCCTTTCCGCCGCCTCCTTTGCGAGCATCACGGCTTCGCAGAAGGTAGCGACGGCACTCCACCCTGACTCGCTCCCGACCATAGTAGACACTACAGCCGGAAGCGAGAGATTTCCCGCAGCACCTACGGCCGCGACCAGGTCACGGCGCTGCTCGGCCCAAGCTGGGCACTCCACCAAGGTATGCAGCGCCGTATCATCGCGGCAATCCCCACAATGGTGGCACTGAGACGTCGGCTCCCGACCTATGCGACACAGGTACTTCCCAAAACACCCGTGTCCAGTAAGCACCTGCGTCAGCCGGAAACTGAGGGCGCCGTGGCTCCTATTGAGCCACTCCTCTAGAAAGGGCCTTACAGCCGCTATAGCGGCGTGCCCCGCCGTGGGTTGCGCTAAACGCGTCTGCCACTCCGCCACTAAGGCCTGACGGAGTTCCGCCCTGCGTGCCTCAACCTGTCGAGGCACCAGGCGTTCGCCTCGCTCGACTGCTTCCACGCGCCACCAATAGAGCGACGCGAGGAGTTTTGCGTCGAGGTCCCAGGGCGGGGATCCGGCTAGGAGGCTCGCTGCCTCAAAGGAGATCGTACGGTATCCCCTTATTATCCTGACGGCCATCGCGCGCTGTGGCCTTCGCAGCGCGGCGATGTTACGGGCCGTCAGGGCGTCCGCCCATACTGGCGCGGCGTATAACGCCATCGACCGTACGACCCCCATGTAGAGCCTCCGGCAGGAGGAGATGGGCCCCCCCTGGTTGGGCAGCAAGCGCGACAGCGCAGCAGCGGCGCTCATCAACCGGGGGGCGAGCCGTGTAAAGTGCGGCCCGAAATTCCACCGACTGTCGAGAACGAGTCCGAGGTACTTCATCGTGGACTCAACAGCGATGGAAACCCCTCCTACTATGATGCTGGATCCTTGAGGCGGCTTCATCCTTGGCCCATGAAAACACAGGGCCTCCGATTTGTGCAATGCCACCTCTAAGCCCAGCCGCCGGATCATACCCACGACGTGCGCGACACCAGCAGTCGCGCGTATGGCCGCCTGCCGGTACGATTTTCCACGCGCTGTAACTAGCGTATCGTCGGCGTAACAAATGACGCCGACGCCGTGGAGTAGAGCACCGCGCAGAGCCCAGTCGTAGCCAACGTTCCACAAGAGCGGACCCAACACCGATCCCTGCGGAACGCCGCACGACGTCTCTCGCCGACCCCATCCTTCTCGACCCGGGTACACCACTGACCTGTCCGACAAATAGGCCCCGACAATGCGTTGGAGGTAGCGCGGCACCCCGTGATATCGGAGCGCCTCTCGGATGGTACTCCAGGGCAAGGTGTTGAAAGCGTTGGCGATGTCGAGCGACACCGCCAAGACCACCTCACCGCCTCGCCTCTCTATAGCGGTTGTATAGTTCCGCCTCTTCCTGTTCGGCCGCAGCTGTAAAGGGGCGGCGGCGTCTTCTTCGGTACCTTGCGTACTGGCGTCGCACCTGTACACAGTGTGCGAGAGTGGGGCTAGCAAAGGACAGGTCCACTATAGACCCACCTCGCTGCCGCACGCACGTCTGCACGGAACCCCGGTTGAGGAGAAGCAGGCCCTGCTCGACCGCCCACTCCTCCACTAATTCGCCCCGCGCATTCGTAGCCGGGGAACCCCAAGCCGTAGATTTGGCATTGAAGTCCCCAAGGACTATCACGGGACGAGGATGACTACGACTGACAATCGTGCCCAACTCCAATATCAAACCCTCCATGTCGGCGAGAGAAAGGCTGGGGGGGAAATACACCCCCGCGACCATAACATTTCTCCAAACTGCCGCGACATAGCCCCGCCCTCGGGTGACGGCCTCGAAGGGAAGGGTGTCGGCAGCAAACCTCAAAATAAGTACTACCGAGCGGTTCGTGTCGCACACCCAGTCATCCCTGGGTGGCACAAAATACGGCTCGGAGACAACTGCCACATCGATCGACCACTGCGCCATGCTCTGAAGCAAGAGATCCTGAGCTCTGGCGCAGTGGTTTTAGTGTTGCCCAAATGCAAGAACAAGACGAGACTTAGCCAGTCTTGGTCTTGGTCTTGCGCCAATACACCTGGTCTTGGTCTTGGTCTTGGTCTTGCGCTCCAAGTCTTGGTCTTGGTCTTGGTCTTGCAGCAAGAGTCTTGCAAGTCTTGCAATTACCTATTAGTCTATTACTATTTATTAAAGTTTACTTTAAATCTTAGAAATACGTATTAGAATTGGAACATTGTGAGCGTGAATTAAGATAGCCATAGTAAAGATCAAGCAGATTAATAAATAACTGAAGATTTGAAAAGAAATTCGAAAAATCAACTGACCTATATGTTGTCTTCCATGGAAGTAACTGTTTCTTAATAAACATTTATGATTTATAAGCTTACATTTTCTAAAACATGTAAAAAACAAATTAATTACAATAACTTGACTGTATTTTAAAGAACAATACTTATCTGTCTAGAAATTAGATTGAACCCTCAACTTACAAGAAATTTAATAAAAGAGTTTTACGATTCATCATTTATTTGGATAAAAAATAAAATACAACACAAATCAACAGCTTTATCATTAGGTTATGATACTTTATATTTTTTTTTTACCAAGAATTAATACAATGTAACCATCTGGCTGACTCATCACTTAACCTATTTCTATGTTTTCTTATTACTAATTATGCTTTAGAAAATAACCTCTCAGCAGTTTCAAGTATATTTAAAAGTCGCAATATTTATTAAACGGGTGATATTTGAACACTTTTTTGCTATTTTTTCTTGTAAAAACTTAAGAAATATAATTACTAAATGTACAATAATAGTACCTAAGTAATTAGTTTAAAACCATATAAGTAATCAATATTATAATATATACTTACTAGAATTAATTAATATGACATCTACTACCTATCCTTACCATTTTATCCTAATCATAATACTACTTGCGTGATCAGTATAATGTATTCATTTTCATTCTAAACACTCTGAAACTTATTTATTCTTTGGAACACCTGTAGCTACTCTTAAAATTTGAAATTATTTTGCATGAGTATACCTACGCCCTATGGCGGCAATCAAATAGTGTCAAATGTTATGATTTTGGCGTGGCGGCAACGATTGTTTTAGATTTCAAAGATTTCAATTATCATAACCATGTACTTCCGAAAAGCCGCAAATTTCTTTGACAAGTAAGTACAAAACCTTTGATGCCGCATCATCAAAGTGCCGATGGTTAAAACATAACTATGCATGCACTCAGTTTTCAGATTTTAATAGATATTTTTTTATTCGCTATGTTTATGGTATTAGTCGTAATGCGCATAGGTCCAGTTTTTCATATTATTTGATACAGTTTTTTGCGTCTCATAGAATTCCTAAGCGTAACTACCTATACACCGAACTGTTACACCTAACTACTCAGTGAAATAAGTCCTAGCTGCAAGACGCAAGAGTCTTGCAGGCTATGTCTTGTTCTTGCTCAAGTCTTGCACGGTCAGTCTTGGTCTTGGTCTTGCTAAAAATACGCGGTCTTGTTCTTGGTCTTGGTCTTGCAAAAACGCAAGAACAAGACCAAGACTGCAAGACCAAGACTGAATTTGGGCAACACTAAGTGGTTTATGTTGGCTTGAAGGAGACGACGTAGGGCCATTATTAAGTTTCCATGGTCATGACCTCCTCCCCAGCCCTCGGCGGATGTTTTGCCGTAGCTTGCGGGTGAACCGGCTGCGAAGAGCTGGTTGCCTGCTGTGTCAAGGCCGGTATACTAGCCGGCGGATGAACCGGCTGTCTCCTGGCATTGTTCTTCTTTGGTCTGGCACAGGCCTTTGACCCGGTCGGATGGTCGGCTGGCTTGCCAGATGCCGCACAAATGACGCAGTGCGGCTTGGCAATGCAAATGCTAGCTTTGTGACCGAGTTGACCGCAGCGGAAGCATATTTGGCTGCGGTCTACTCCCGCGGTGCACCGTGCCCCCGCGTGTCCTTCTTCCAAACAGCGGTAGCATCGATAGGGCTTGGGAGCTAAGAACGCGACCTGCACCGAGACCCATCCAACCAAGAGCCGCTTATTTTCAATCTTTTTGGCCGCCGCTACGGGACAGCTGACGAGAATTGTCCCAAGACCGGAGACACCCCGACGTATCGTGCCCGCCTTGACTTGTTCCGGCGGGCATCCTCCGGCCTTGGAGATGGCAGCAGCGACCTCCTCCTGCGTAACGGAATCGTCCAAGCCTGAGATGCGCAGATCTGCACATTTGGTTGGCCAAATGAGACGCCTTAAGTCTATCGGCAAGGGCGTCTGCCTTGGGCCCACTCGTGGCTCCCGAAATCTCTAGTAAGCGACCGCCGGCCGCGGTAGTCTTACACCGCAGGCCCGTTATGCCGAGATCACTAAGCGAGATCTCTGCTTTCGCCTTTGCCAGGATCCCAGCGTACGTAAGGCCCCGCTCCTCCGCCCCTGGCTGCAGGGTTAGAGTCACTGCTGTAGAGCGGGGTGTACTTAGCCTTGCGGTCTTGTCTCTGGGCCTGCTTTTTGGCCCGCTGGCGTGCCCTTTTTGATTTTTTGGCAGCGCCCGCAACCTTCCATTCCGACTCAGGTCTGGTACCATTCTCGCGTGTTACTGGACGGACGGTGGCACCTGTTTTTTCCGCCAGTTTGGCTTCTTTTCCTGACTGCCTATCTGATTTTGGCCTCGCAGTTTTCATTTGCGAGGCGGCAGTTGAGGTATTCCTTTTCTGTGTGGCACCCGCTGCTGGTGCCGATTGGGCGGCACGAGGCGCTGCAGCTTGGGCTGCATATGTCGGTGCCGAAGTGCGGCCTTGGTCTGCAGCTAGGGGTGGACGCAGGATCTTCCCCTCCAGCACCGAGAAGCGCGCGTTAAAACTTGCCATCTCCTTACGGATCAGGCGAGTCAACTCAGTCTCCTGTGATGGCGACTGCGGTTGCGGTTGCTGCGTCGGGAGCGCAAGGCCCACTTCTTGCCTGAGGTGCTCTCGGCGGAAGTTTACCATCTCGGCCTTGAGCTCCTCATGCTCCTTGCGGAGCTCCGCCATTTGTGCTGCGAGCTTTTTGTTCTGGGCCCGCAGCAGGGCCGTCTCTTCCGTAACGGTGCGTGTTAAAAGTACTTGAGTACTTTCCAGAATGGAGGCCGTGGCCTCTTTAAGTGCCTTCTTGCTGCAGTCGCTAAGGCCCTTCGAGACTTTGCTCACCTGTCTGATTGCTGCAACCGCGTCAACCAGCCTTTGGTTTAGGTCGGAGGCTGGAAGATCTTCTGCCTCGACTCCTACATTCGAGACGACAGTTGAGGACTCCGACAGGCGAGTGACTCTCCCTTCCGTCACTCTTTTCGTCAGAGCCGCTATTTGCCGCTCATCCTCCTCTAATTTATCGGCGAGTGCTGCGGCTTTCGCTGCAGCCGCAGCCTCACGCCTGGATAGGCCGACACCAACATATTTGCCGGTGGTGGCGGGCCTACCTCTTCCTCCTTTTTTAGCACCGACCTTAGGAGCCGGCATCGCTGTATCGCTCAGGGCCGATTCCGACCCTGAGTCTGCACCTTCTCTTGGGCGTTTGCGTAAGCGTTTTAAATTACCGCTCACCGTGCTCATCACACTCATACTCGACGCACTATCTGAGTCCGACAGAACTCCTTTCCGCTCAATTAGTACCATTGGTACTGTTTCACCTACCTCGTCATTTTTTGTTTTTATTTTATTTGTTAGGGTCTCCATATTGTTCCCACGAGTACAAAGCAAGTAATGGTCAACCCCGGGCAGAGGCTTAGGGACCCGGGTAAGCCTACATACTGCTGGGGGCGGCAGGTACCAGCAGGTGGGAGCGCTAACGACCGTACACCCAACGGCCATTCATCCCCTCGCCGCGCTCCCGAAACTTGGGATTGGGTGGTTTTTTATCTTAGAGGTGTCCTTCCTCTAGGGCCGGGCGGCAAAGCCAAGCCCCCCGACGGCGGCATTTAGACATGCCTCCGTCCGCTGTCCGGCCAACCCGAATCAGCAGCCAGGGTGCACCGGTCCAACAACTGCTCTTCCCCCCGGACGTATCCGCAAGGGACCAGCAGCCGCGGAACGCACGGGGAGGTCTTCTGCGCGCACCCCAAACATAGGCTTCCTCTGACTGCTCTCATCTCTGTTTTGGGCTTTCTTATCCAGAAGGTCCCTGCTGACCTAAATAAGTCATGGGCCCATTTTTTAAGTTGCCCAAAGGTGACATTGAATATAAGATAAGAAATTGTATTTGCTTACTTGTAATTTAATATCATAATTTTTTTCTTGTGTTTGCTGGGTATTTTATGGTGTTATGACTTTTTCTTTGAGGTATTGAATGTCTAGCATATCCAAAACTAACTAGTGTATTTTTATATATATTTTCTCAGTCACAACATACTCTTTACTGGTTTAGTCAACCAGAACCAAAACAAAACTTGTGACATAGAACAACCCTTGGACATTGACTATCGCTTAAATGCATGCCCCACAAATACTAAGAAATGATTTTAATTGCTTAAAAATAAGGACAGGAAGCGGGTACTTATCGTAAGTGGCAAATATACGTAGTTTTGAAGATAATTGGAGATCACGCGATCTCGATTGTCAGTCATCAAGTCATCAGTCATCTCATTCACATGACGGACGATCATTTAGATATGGACCAACTTGGTACTTTTAACGAATCACCAGATCCTACGGAAATATTAAGACAATGTCAATGTGAATTGTGAATTATGTCAAACTGGTTCTCCCAGAGAATATGTTGTATTTTCTCGCATTATTGAGAAAATGTTATCTGTACATTTTAAATACATAGTTTGTATATATTTTTATGACATAGGGTATAGGTATACGAGCTAACATGTTACAACTATTAAAAATCAAAATGTTGATTGTGTAAATAACTTACACTTGTTAATAGTTGTAATCGGGTAATTATATGTATATTATATTGTACAAATTATTTAGTTCAAACTATTTATATTATTTAATCAATCACACAATTTGTTACTATATAGAGGCATGATAATTTGCGTTACAAATAATTACCTGATATTAAAACTACCGCTATGCACTATGGAAAGATGGATATGATGGATAAAACTACCACCATCACATATATGAAACTGGGTATACACACACTGCATATCGGAACAATACAATTTAATCATGAATTCCCTTATAACACTGGCTGAACGTTGACCCTAAGGTACTTATTTGTTATACAACATGCTCTGGTCCTTTATCTAAGGTCAAACACGCTCAAAGCTCGTGTCGATTAAATGTAATTCCTCCACAGCATGACGCAAAATGTTATCTAATTGGAGATCTGCACAAATAATGAAGTTATTGTGAAGTTCTACATTCTATTTTAATTGTTGTAATGTTTGTACGGCCTATTTTTAAGTTAATGCGCATTTTTTTCGATAAGAATGTTTGTAAAGAGTTTATTTATAAGTTGTATTTTAACGCTAGTGTGACGTTTTGCTTTTGGTTTGTGTATTAAATGTATTACATTGGGAAGCATTAATATTTGTAAATTGTAATCTTTACACGGCATTTTACGATTTTTACTCGAAATACTTCAGCTTTTTTTTATGTCATAAACATAAAAAAATTAAGTAGTTCGGCAAATCAGCAGCTTACCTGATCGCAAACTATCGGCGCCGCCCATGGACACCCGTACGCCAGGGGAGGTGCAAGTTGTTGGCACTATGAGAATAAAGAGTTTTGGATTTAAGGATTGAGGAGGGATGGAGAAGGGGAGTAAAGAGTAGAGTAACCTTTCTCAAACGGCGGAACACACCGCTGTGGTTGTTTCAAGCCGGATTTCTGTAAGGCCGTGGTATCACTCCGGTCGAGCCTCTCATCGAACTACTTTTAAAAGTTAGGCATTTCAATTAATTCAAATCAGAATTGTCTGCACTCAGTACCTCAGTTAAGCTAGGTGCTCCGTCCATTAGTTTGCCCTTTATTGTCTTATTGATTTGTCCGATTTCGCAAACAAGGGATTGATGTAACTAGTTAGTACTTCGGTACGAATGGGTCGGCTTGACTGGCTGGAGTGATACCACGGCCTCACAGAAAACCGGGTGAAACAACCGTTTCGCCGTGTGAGTGAGGTTACCGGAGGCTCAATCCTTCCCCTCCTCCGATCCCTCCCCGATCCCTAAATCTCCAAAACCCTAATCCCTAAAAGGTCGGTAACGCACTCGTAACTTTTCCGTTGCGGGCATCCCTGGGCGGCGCTGATTGCTTACCATCAGGAAATCTCGTTTGCCGACCTATTACATAAAAATAAATAAAGTGATAAAAGTTTTAGTTAAATAATATCAATCATACGTAAGTTACTTGCTAATGTTTTGTCAACTAACATTATTCATACCGATTGCCTGCTTATGAATTTACACAATATGCATAACAATAGCTAGGGTTGCTAAGCATTTTTCATTACATTTTCATCATCATCATCATAAGCCGGAAGACGTCCACTGCTGACGGCCTCTCTCTTAGTCCTCCACGTCAAACGACCCCGCTCCCCGCGACTCGCATGTCCACCTAGCGGCACCTGGCTACGTTACGTTTTCCGATCCTTGGTCGCCACTTGAGTACTTTTCCGGCCCATCAGCCGTCCGTGCTACGAGCGACGTGGCCTGGCCATTGCCACTTTAGCCTGCAGATTTTACGAGCTATGTCGGTAACTTAGGATCTTTGGATTTTCGCGCTAAGAAACCCCGAGCAGAGTCCGTGCCATTCCATTCCATCTCCCCCCCCCCCCCGTTCCTTCTCCTTCTCCAGGCCAAGACCGTGGTATCTTATTGCGCTTGACCCGAAACCCATATAATAAAGGTGAAAATGCCATCTGTTGTAATTATTCTAGAATTTACTCCCCTTTTTATTCGAATGTGTGTCGAAATGCGTATTTGTTACATTTTGAAGTTCTTTATGCATTGTATTCCCTTTTTCTGAACTGGAGTAGACTTCATATTTTGTTCAGTGTATTTTGCTATCCAATCTCTAAACCCGATAGATAAAGTTGACTTTTTCATATTTTGATAAAGTTATTATTATGATTGCTACCTTAAAACCAATTTTTGCCAAGAACTTGTTCACCTGGCACCCCTAATATACTACCTACTCCATACAAATCGCGCGACATATTGTGAGCACTAGATTTCGCAATGCGCCAGCGCAGGGCGGAAGATTGCGGCGTACGCACACCACGATTTGCGAAACACTTACTAATGTTGCCACCGTAATGTGTCTTGCATGACACCGTCATTTTGATATCATCGTGTCTTCCTAACTGGTACAAAAAAAAAACGTTTTCCAGCCAATCTTTCTCGAAATGTTTCTGCAACGATTTCTATTGCCGGTTTTTATTTATATCAGACTTGCTGATCCAGTGAAATCTGTACTGCCTCAAATGTGATATAACCATATTTGCAGACCTTTTAAACCTTCCCTGGTCTTGGATGAATATTTCAAGATCAAACTTTACCAATCGGTCCAGCCGTTTGCGAGTTTTAGCGAGACTCACGAACAGAATTTTTCAGAATTCATTTTTATATATAAGATTACCTTTTTTGTTTTTTTTTCTTCTATTTTATCATCACCTTTCTATTGACTTTTTTACAATATTTTATTTAATTTGCAATGTACCTATGTCTGTGAAGAGTAACAGAAAAACCAAATTCAATTATGAATTCGGTTGTGATGACCTTAAATGCTAAGCTGCACTGACTTGAAAATTGTATCATTATTATGATTTAGTCCCTTTATCACCTGATATTAAATCATATGCATATTTTTTATTAGGTTTTTTTTTATTTGTGATCAGATCAAAAATTTAACATTTGATATTGCTTCACTGTCTTTATTTTTTTTTTTAAGTTTTTAAGGTAAGTATATTTATTCAGTTCAATACGTCATAGTAACATACACAAGTCACATATCCGAATATAAATCTATTTTTGTTGTTGTTAAGGATCTGACTGACCATCATTCGGTTAGTACTTCCCACTGAACATTTTCCTTCAACCTTCGGATCTCCACTTTATGCTAATACTTTGTTTACTCTTCCTCTTAATTTGAATGCTGAAAACGTTTATGAATGTAGGTGATATTCGGCCATGGTCAATTGGTCACTAGTAGTTTATGTAGCCTGTTGAATCTAAAGCAAAATAATCCATTAAAATGTTTTTAAGTCATTTCATATAGTATGCCTATAGTTTTACCCGCTACTCGGCTCACATCAGTAATAGGGTGATGCGGTATACCATGTAGTCTTGATCGACAGAATATCCAAGTCCAAAATATTTTTAGCATTCGAGCAAGCAGGTACTTATGAAAAAAGCGCGCTCAAAAACAAACAAGGTCTTCAGGTTTATAGAATAACTAGCTACTCTCACGCGGTTTTATCCACTGCATGGGTCCTGAGGATCTTAGCATGATGTTTTATAGTCTTCTCGATAAATGGAAATAACAAACACAACAAAATCTCCGGTACCAGTAGTTCCGGAGATTATCGCGTTCAAACAAACAAACAAAACAAAACTCCAGCTTTATAATATTAGAACAGATTTGAGACAAATCGATTAATGTCGGCATTGTCGGCTTACTTACATAACCCTAATTTAATAGATAAAAAAGATTCATTTTAAAAATAACAATACTCAAACAAAATACGCAGTTGCCTTAATTAGTATCTATGTCACCTAAATAGTGAACGTAGTTCCTTAGAGTGTGCTTTCGAAACAATAGCTAATTGAATATGCATGGAAATTAGTCATAAATACTAATTTAGTATTATGAAACCTGTATTTACTATTTAGTTGTGACGAAAACTACTAAGAAGTACTTTTGATCTTTCAGTAGGTAATCTGTGTGATCCACAATTTGTTGTTTCGGGTGAGGGTGGATATATATGTTTGTAAACGCACCCACGACACAGAAGGAAATCCCAGTGCGGGGCAAGTTTAAAAAAAAACATTGTACATTATGGTGAACCTATGCCCGCTGATGGAAAGTAGTGTAAGCAGCCGAATGGTGAACTAAGAGTAAAATATTATTTAGATGGGGCCCAACAGTGTCGATGTTCAGCCGGGGTTGCGGGTCCAAGTGCTCTAATGTAATGTGGGGCCCGATGGGGCTAGAGACTGGGGCAGG